GGTGGGATTCTTACATATTTTGTTCTATATATAATTAACATTTAGCTCTTTGTGTGTATACGCCCTTCGTGGAAACCAGTTGTAAATAATTGTCGAGGTTAGCGTATTGAAATAAAGTTTTACATTACATTACATTTTTACAAACGCGCGTGTCTGGAGGTAGAACACGCGCGGCTGGAGGTAAAATTTGGCTTCATCCGATCATAAGCCAATCCTATTGGAGGTAGCGTTCCAGGTATTTTTAGTTCCCTGGCCAGTCGTTATTTTTTCCCTCGCCTTCCCTTTTCCCCTTGCGCGCGTCCACATTTGGTACTGATCTGTATATATATATGGATATATACCTATTCGTCCCTATATATAAAATTGAAATTCAAATAACGACTGCGGACGAGTCTGATTTTCTAAGGTGATGCCATGGCGGGTATCTCACTCGATTGAACTAATCCAATGTTGAAGGGTTTTGTTGATGGAAACATTTACACTCGAAATATCGTTTAGAAAACCCTTCAACGTAAAGTATAACACACTTAAGATATACTACGAGGCTTTGAGACGTAAACCAAGATATGAATATACTAAAATATTATATATTTCAACTTTTTCTAATTTAACGACATACACCGTTGTTTTCCACAATACTACGTATTGCAATGGTATTGCAGTTGTTTTCCACAATGCTACGTATTAACATTCAAGATATTTTACATGGTGTTTCACATGATCTTCCAGAAATGTGGAGATGAAATAATAACTGTGATCATATTCCTAAAAACAAATGTGTAAAAGATTACGATTTGAATGGCCATGTGTCAAAAAATTATTTAACATTAATTATATATCATGACTAAAAATGTCATTACATATAAATAATTGATAAACGAACAGATATCGATATTATATCAAATCAGGACTTATTCGTGTTTGTCATTATTTGATGTTATTAACATTAAGCATTATTTCATGAATTCGAAATAGTAGTACATTTACTGTTCGGAGTACTGTACTCCGGATTTTCGGAACACTAATGGAATGGAACAGAAGAGAGTCACATGACGGTTCTGAACTGTTCTGACTACCCCAATTTTCGAGTAGGGGGCAGCCAGAACAGACACGTGACACTGCCTCTTTTCACGTCACTGGAAATGGAGGCGACATTTGTGTATCCAATGCACATAGAGCATTATTTTGAAGCGTTAACCGCTATATTTCGACATATACTTATTATATGCTATTTGACAGCCAGGGTTGGGCAAAATCAACGAGTAAAAACGTTGCAAAAACATACGTAGATGTACAAATAACAGCGAATCATTATACGCTTATTATGCGAATAACTAATGAATATAGTAATGCATGGTTGCACGCATATATAATAAACTCAACACTGTTCCAGAACACCGTATGCACTCCATTTTATATCGTTCCAGAGCAGTGTTCCAAATGTTCTAGAACAGTGCGGGAGCAGCCTGAATGACATAATTTTCTGAGTCGCGCTGATTGGCTACAAGCTAACAGTTACAACACGACGACAATATATTGCGCAGATACAAAAAGGTATCATAGAAAAGCTAAATAACAACTCTTTCGTCCTATGTAAAATTTGAATTGTTTAGCTAAGTTTATGATGCACGACAGCCTGTTGAATTTCCATAGCGTTTTTTTTTTGAGACACCCTGTATACAATCGAAATATACCACGAGAGAAATCGTTTGCACTGCATGGTAAGCCAAAAAAGTTTTTTCAATAGATTTTAATGCAAAATCAAATGGTGGTATTTTGGTATTTATACACTGTCAGGGAAATCCATACCATAAAATTCGCAATTCCATCACTAAATCCATTGTATATCCATACTATATCCATAGTAAGAAAATTGCAATTAGTATGAAAATTGGATTTCCCTGCTAATTCCAACGAAGATCCACACTATTTCCATAGTAAGGATTTCCAATGATAACATGTACTAAACTAGAGATATGACATCGATTATATGACAGACCTTCAGGTCTGTTATTAAATGGCTTTGACGAAAAAGTGTTTAATGTTAATAACATTATATCAAATAATGACAAAAACGAATAAGTAATGATATGATATAATATCTGTTTGTTTATCAATTATTTATATATGACACTTTTGGTCATAATATGATATAATTAACGTTAAATAATTTTTGGACACATGGCATTCCATAGATTTGGGCGTTCAAACACCAACAACAAAAACAGCAGCAACAACAACAAAAACAGCAGCAACAACAAACTAACAACATACAGTGCCGCTCACGGACATGATACACGCGTTTCTAACGGCGTAACGCGTATCAATTGACCACTTGCGTAATAGACTAAATTTTGATCTCAACAAGTTTAGATAAAAATATCATCACAGCTTGAAAGAGCATCACAAAATAAGTAATATTCCAAAGTTTCGTTGCGAAATGTTGTAAAAGGCGGATAATATAGCCTTGCGAAGTTTGCCGTTTTTCAGTCATTTTGCAATACGCGGGGGAAATTGACAGCCCAATACCCTTTAGGGCTGTCAATTTCCCGTTTGTAATAGAAAATGACTGAAAAACGGCAAACTTCGCAAGGCTATATTATCCGCATTTTACAACATTTCGCAACGAAACTTTGGAATATTACTAATTTTGTGATGCTCTTTAAAGCTGTGATGCAATTTTTGTCTAGACTTGTCTAGATCAAAATTTAGTCTATTACGCAAGTGGTCAATTGGATATCATACGTATTTGACACGCGTATATCAAGCGCGTATTAACTGTGTATGATGATACATACCTTACGTGTGTCAAACGCAACAGGCATAAACAATTAAACTTTACTAGCGTAGCTAATAAAAGTTATGAAAATAAAACTACAAGCTAGTTACACGTACTTACTTCATGCATTCGCAGGTTTAATGGATAATTCACTTCCTCACAAACTTTCTTAAATGTTTCAGGAAGAAGTTGCTTTACGTCATAAAAATTATCTGCCAATCCCTGCAGTGAAACAAAACATATTGGCTACTATTAGTTTAGTTACTTAGTATCTTGAAAAAACTGAAAATTACGGCCTCACCTGGTCAATAAGAATCTCAGGTTTTGGTCCTTTGTACGTTTTCATCAATTCTGAAGCATCATATTCCTTAAAAGAAACAAATACTTTCGTACAGCGTACTGCAGATACGATTTTACATCCACCAAAGTATTGCTCGTTTTGACGTTCTCACTACTCGTGCTTGTCTCAATTACCGCATTCACGGCTGGGGCATTTCACGACACATTACAAATTTCGCGTTACACGGGGAAAATATTGGTCTTGAAGATAGCGACAGTGCAGGTATATACGTCAGTTAATTATGGCAATTCTGTTTAATACCTTCCATGATTCTTTATTACTTCCAAGATAACCACTGAATGCTTTTTGTCCCCAGGGACAGTTCATGGGATTACAGATGGGTGCAAATGCTGAGACAGACTAAAGATTAAATTATAAATACAGTCAAACAAACAACTACGTCATGATTGACGTTGCAGTCCTCTGCGTGAAGATCAAAACGTACAAAGCCTCGACCTCCTAGGGCGAAAAGAGCAATGGAGGTCAAACTGATTGACCAAATGAAGGTGTGTGTTGTATTATCACTTAGATCAAATTAAGTTTGAAAATTTCGTAACAAGAAGACGTTCATACACACAGTTTTTCTTGTTCTTCACGCAATCACATAATCAAAACCTTTTACCCTAACGTTTATTGTTCTAACTAATAAGTCATCGATGTTGATCATGGTGCACCGCGTGGGAAAATAAATCATTTACAACCTTCTGTTAACAGAGAACTTGAGAAGGTTCCTAAACTTCCCTCGTAAAATATATCCAGACTATATATCCAACCTTGTATAAACCAGGATTTTTGAGAAAAGCGATCAAAGCACCATGGCCACCCATGCTACAAAAATGAAATTATAAATTTTACAATATTGAAATGTAAAATGTCCTACTGATAAAACACATTTTTATGGTATTTAACAACGATGACATGTTTACAGAGCAGGTAGAACTTGGATATCTGCCCTTGTGTGTATTTCTATATAGTTGATCTCACATTCATATACTCTATAAGATTACTTCCTGATGTTTCCGAGCATAAGTAAAATTCAGAGCGTAATGTAAAAAAAAACTTGAAAGAAAATATAAAATCCAACCTGTGTCCAAATATTGACATCTGACCTTCAATAGCGGGAAAATTGGCATTCACAAGCGATGGAAGCTAACGACAGAAAGGAACTATGTGCTAACAACCGGGCACATAAACCATAATTATGCCATAAAGGCTTTGACTGGTCTTGTAGTATTCGGCAGCACAGAAAACCGAGCTCAACCTCACAAACAGTTTGCCGATGGTGGTTTAATATATGCAGGGAGCGATAAATAATTATTAATTCCATGATAAACCATTCAGAGCGTTCTACACTGGCTGTATTGTAGAACAATAGTTTGTTAACATTTTAAAATTTTACAACGGATTCAAAACCAACCTCTTTGGCAATGTAAGAATACATTCTGTAATGCTTTTTCCATTTGTCTTCTGTAGCATCGACATAGAATCCGGCCCCAGTCCCAAAATCCCAGTTATCATCTTCTCCCTCGATATTACAATTACCTAAAATACTCAATGATATTATTCATCACTGCATGCCTTCCAGGTTTCAAGAAACTTTCTAGATTGTACATCTTCTCTGAAATATTTAGATACCCATCACTTACGAGGACTGGTATCAGGAGCAACAACAATAACTCCATGTTCTGACGCAATTCTTTGACATCCAGCTTTAGCTGTGAAGTTTACCTCTGTGCATGTCAAGCCTGTGGAGGTAGAGACCAACTAGATAAATGAACTACCGATGAATAGAGTAAAATAACTAACTGTATTTAGTTATTCAACCTGGCAGCCATTTTTCTTAAAGATGATGACTAACTGTGGAAAGTTTAGTTAACATCTGAAAATCTTTAACCATGGAGGTTAAGCCTCTCAATCTAAACAGAACATAACTGATATCTCGACGTTTTCAGCAAATGCCCTTTGTCAGAAGAAAGGAAAAAAGAAAGGAAAATAGCCTTTGCACGAAATGTCAAGAAGGATGTCTTGGATATTTGATAACGTTTGGACAACTATAAGATTTAACAATTTTATTGAGAATTCTACAACGTTTTAAACACAACAGTTCTATGTAGAAATAAGTAAAATACTCAAATGGACAATATCAAGCACGAACGAGACATAAAGTCCCATGCAAGGTACTTACCATTCTAAAACTATACAAAACAATAAAATAGAACAAAATACAATACAAAAACAGCACAAACATGAAACGCAGTTATTTACTACGTTCTATGACATGGACAGTCACGCACTAATGACCATGTACATGGCATTTCTATGTCGAACATTGTCCCGAGCAAGTGTTCATATGTGCTTCTAATGTTTCTTTTAAACGAGGAGAGGGTGGCGAAGGTGGTAGGAGGTAGAATTTTACAGGTATAGTTCCATATTTTAACTAGTTGGTTGAAATAGGATGCTTTGAATGTGTTGGATTTACAGAGGGGGACTTTAAGGGTGAGGGAGGGAATTTGACAGAGTCGGGTCTGATTGTTGTTGGAAAAGGAGACAAAGGTGTTAACGTCCAAATCTGTGTTGCCAAAGAGAGCCTTGAAGAAGAACACCAGATCAGAAATCTCTCTTTCATAGCAGAGGGGGAGCAGGTTGAGATTCATTAGCCGTTGTTGGTATGTCATTTCACCATGCTTGGATTGTAGTATCCACGCGGTGGCTCTTCTTTGGACGCTTTCGACTCTAGACTTGAGTTTGACAGTGTGTGGAGACCAGACTTCACTAGCGTAACATAGCTGAGATCTAAAAAGCGAGAGATACAGCGTTCATCGTACTGTTTTGTCTCTCAAAAGAGGGCAAGTTCGTTTAAGCAGCCTGAGCATCTTGTTAGCCTTACCCGTGATTGTGTGGATGTGAACATCCCAATTGAAGTTGGCACTGACGCAAACACCAAGGTCTTTCTCTTTATCCACACACAAGAGTTCCTTCGAATTCATGTGGTAGTAGTATAGGAACTGCCGTAGCGAGACCACTAGTTTCGGAACGAGACCACGTTTTTTCGGCTTCGCCGAAAAAATGGTCTCGCTCCGGAACCAGTGATCTCACTACTGCAGTCCCTGTGCTACACCGAATTTAGTTTCTTAATTAAGTGTTGTCCTTCTTGGGTGTAGGTACAGTGGATCTGCTATTCTAGAGCCTCTTCGACAACTTTTAAAACACCCTTGAGGTAACACACACCCTCTCCACAGAATCGTCAGATATTAATTCTGAGCACTGATTAATACTTCCTACAACCTCCACAATACCCATTTTAGTTGTCACACTCAGATTCCAACTATTCACCATTCTCTTCTATTAAAATATCAGGGATTCCCAAACCCTCAAACATCTAGACTTCTCCAATATCATTTGTTTTGCTTAATCTAGAGCCTCTTCGACATCTTTTATTTTCTCCTTGGGGGTACATAAGGGGGTGTGCCTTTGTAGTCCGGATGCACTGTTGGCATCATCCTTTTCACCCTGTGTGGTCACTTCAACCTTAATATCATTGGATACAGAGAAATTTATATCACCAACCTTCCCATTTTTATTAGACCTTTTACGACAGCCACAGATATTACCCATACATGAGAAGCATGAACGCCACTTTGACATGATGCCTTATGATACAACACATATTATCCACCTGACCCTGAATACAGCAATGACCAGCAAAAAGACAAGTCCATACTCGAACCAGTTGGCATTGAGTGTTCCGGTTTAACTATAATACACCAGGCTAGCGTGTTATCTACCAACTCAGCCTGGTTTCCTAAATAGAACATACTATTACCCTTGAAGACATAGCAAGTTGTACTTCCACCATTACTTGTGCAAGTAAGTGTAAAGTAAGTGTATGATAGCCTTCTTAAGTCGATTGTGCTGAGGACGATTTCCTTTTTGACTTGTGTAAATTTTCCATTAGACTGCTTTTCCCATACAGTAGCCCACAGGATGAGTCCTAGGGGTATGTTAGTAACAGTTGAAAGAAGTGGGAAATCTGATTTAATAGTAATGACTCAAGGTTGAGGTCTGTCGTATTATTAATAGTATCTGTTCTCCATGAAGGTGGAATCTGATCTTGACAGTAAGCATAGTACCTTGTTGCTGCAACTGATACGCCACGGTATCCCCAGATCCACTGCGAATAAATATGGTGAATTTTCCTTACATATCTAACATCAGCCGTTGCTTGGACAAGACCTGAGGAAGATTTCAGGAAATTATTTTCCACCCATTGCTTGTTAACTGCATCCTTATCATTTATCGGATCCTTTAGATCAAGAATACCACTTGAATTTCCCATATCCAGATCACCCTTTACCAGTCCACCTCTACTACTCATGAACTCATCGGTTGCCCATTTCTTATTTACTGCAGAACCGTCAGTTGTTGGATTAGCCACCTTGACTAACTCGAAATTGTTTACATCTAGGTTACTTGCTAACGTACCACCGTTACGCTTCAGAAACTGTAGCCCCCAAGTGTCCAGCGTCTTACTTGAAAGTGCAGCTGTGTCTCCCACAGAGCCCCCTGCAAGTCCTGTTATACTATGCCCTCCCATGTCAATATTACCCGTCATAGTGAAGCCGCTACTATTGATTGAACTTCCACTAACATGATCGGTGACCCACTTCTTTGAGACAGCAGAATTATCAGTTGTGGGAGCACCTAACTTTACTATTTCGTTATTATTCATATCAAGGTCGTCAGATAGAGTAAGACCGCTGTAAGTCTCACGCTTACTTCTACCTCCACTAATCTTATCTTCTACCCACTTTTTGTTAACAGCAGATGTATCAGCACTAGGAGCTCCAATATTTTCAATTTCATTTCCACCTATCTTGAGAACACCAGTCATTTCATTTGAACCGTCCAATTTCAAGGCAAAGCGTAAAATTTGGTTAATCACAGTTTGAATATTGGGAACAACTATTTTTGCACCAAGTTTGTTGATTATATAGATTGAGTTACCATTTGCGACAGTTAGATCACCATTTAAAGTGAATCCTGATGTAACCCACCTCTTACTAACAGCAGATGTACTGGAACTAGGGTCACCAATATTTTCAATTTCATTTCCACCCATCTTAAGATTGCCGGTCATTTCATTTAGTCCACTTAGTTTAAGATACGAACTAGTTAGTTGGCTAAGCCTTACGAGACTTTTTGGATCTAACCCATCCGCGAAACTCCTAGGGGCTTTAGAGAAGTCGATAGGTCCAGTTACACTCTAGCTGTGATAGGAAAGAGTCGCTTAGCCTTAGAAATGTTCCCCTGTTTGAGTTAAACCACCTTTTTGTAACAGCGGACTGATCCTCAGTAGGATCCTTAAGATTCTTAATTTCATGATCCTTCATATCAAGGTCCCCAGTTACAGGTTTATTTATCATGCTAGTTACCCAGTCCTTATTAACAGCAGACTTTCCAGTTGTAGGATCACCCAAAGCCTTTATTTCATTGGTTGACATATTGAGATCATTTGTAAGGATACGACCGGGTAGACTTACATGTATATGCCTGCGGCTACCTTCAACCCAACTCTTACTAGCAGTGTCACCTGGATTAGTAGGATTATCAAGATTAGTTATCTTATTACCTCCCATGTCAATATCCCCAGTCATTGTAAACCCTGCTGGTTGAATTGTAACAGCAGCCTGTTTAATGATCTCATCATCCACCCACTTCTTTGTGACCGCAGACGTATCATCTGTAGGTGCACCTAAACCTTTCACCTCATTACCATCCATCTCAATGTCACCCTTCATGGTAAATCCGTTCTTATCAAACACACTGCCACTTGATGGGTCAACTTTATTTACACCTTTATTATATCCTCTATAGAGAGCCATTTTTTATAACATACACAATGTTTCACAGAACAGTTCTCAATATAAGAAACACAGCGACAGACCCGATACCAAGTCCAGCTAAAGCACCGTCACCTAAGGACTCACGGGTACTAACCACCTTACGCGGTGCGGTGGGTGTGCTAGTCTTAGGAACAACCTGAGGTGCAACACTTATAGGACTCCCCGGAACTTTCGTGTTTCCACTAAGAGTATCAAGGTGGTGAACTGGTGTGCTATTTTGATGCTGTTTCTTTGGAGGATCAACTTGCTTAACACCGACATAATTTACCTTAGGATTCACCCCAAATTTCATTGTATTAGTTGCCGTCTTTAGAAGGTTATTATAACCGAGAATCGGAGTTTTAAGAATAATAAAGTTCGATGGGATTAGAACTATTCCGGGGGATAGAGCAGTGTTTAGAATCACATTGGTGTCCCTCACAACTTTCCTCATATTGCTAATTGTTGTTACCGTATTACTTTGTAAAATAGTAGACTTCACAATAGTTCTAAAGTCACGTTGTGTTTGAAGAGCCTTTGGACCGTTTCCTTCTATTGACCACCTTGTATTAGCTTGGGATCCCAACATAGCGTACACATAGGACTCGATGCTTTCCTGGATAAGCTCAACGCCCAACTTAGTAAAGCCATTGCTTTTTTCAGCTATGAATGAAAGGTAATCACTACTATACAAAGGTCCTGCACTAGTTGTAGCACCACTTCCATCAATAATATAATTCTGATTTATTGGAATGTGATTCCTTACAATATCAAGGTTAACACCAAGTTTATCAATAGCATCCTTACTAACTGTTAACTTTCTAGTTGTGTAGTACAGATGATACCTTATAATGGATGTTATTATTTTAGGAACGGAATTACTTTCACGAACGTGTTCTAAGGATACACCGCTGAGATAGCTAGCTATGTAGGCGCCAGACAACATTCTAGTGTATGGTATCGTATTAAAGGAAACTTTTCTTACATCCTTATTAGTTAAATTAGGACCTTCATCCCAACCTACACCAGCATCAGGGAAGTTAGACATGAAATAACTGTTTTCATTTACATAGATCTTAAAGTTGTTAAAGTTGTAGGGAAGACTTACAGGAGGTCGATATGTATTAATATGATAGCCATCATCATGAACCAGAACCCTACTGGACCCTAACTTTCTTTCATCGTAAGTAGGATCCTTTGGAAATACAAGAGGTTTATAATTTTGAACGGTGCCATTACTATTCCAAAGATGTGGCCATCCTTTTGGTTTCAGGGAAACTTTAGGCTTAGGTGCCACCACCTTGGGTTTCATTGATGTGAGGTATGATGTGTATTCACTATCCCCCTTAAATCCATCGTATCTTATGTCATAAGACGTAATTCCATCTAAATCCACAAACCATGTAACAACACCAATATCACCACTACTTGTAGTCATAGCTTCAATTTTAAATCTTCTCATATCTGCAAAAGGATAACTTGACATAAATCTAGCTCTTTCAGCGTCCTCTACCTTTTTACCAGCAACAGGATCAACATGATCTTCATCGTCTTCCTTTCCATACTTTTTTTCATATTCTTGGTACGACCGATACGGCGACTTACCAACTTGTCCTCCACCTGGTCTCATTCTTAATAACCTAACGTATGTTATTAAGATGAAGTTCACAATTTTACTGCAGAGCTCGCACACAGTTGTATCACTACAGAACTCAGTTCTAACAAGCAATTATAAATCAGTCTTTGTGAAGAGAGTATCAGTATTCTGGGAGTACTTTAACATAAGGGAACCAACAACTATTCTCAAAGTGAAAACAGATGATGGAGAATCTGATGTAATTGTTAGTAAAGGTTACTACACATTTGACAGTATGAAGAAGTTACTTGAAAGACATGGTGTTAAGCTAACCTACTTTACTGAAACAGCAGGATGTCAAATAGAAGCAGTAAAACAAGATATCACAATAGAAACACGATTACTGACTATGTTAGGTTTTAATAGATTTTTTAATCCTATGATCCTGCTGAAAGGGAGGAGTTTGACAAGTGATAGCAAAGTTGACTTTAATAATGGTCTACGAGGTGTAAATATACACTGTAATCTA